AAATAAACCTTTTATTTGAGTTCCAAACCGCTTGCTCCAAGATTCCTTTATTGAAAAGATGCTGACTCTCGAGCCCTTCTTGAGCCGCTGTGCGAAAAGCTCTGCTGTAACGGGACATTGTGGCATTGGAAGCGCACTGGACATATGCTTAGCATTAAACTAATTAAAGTTTAATGGGACACATTCAACAATATACAATGGGTGGGGCTGGAGAGAGGTCACATCCTCAGGCATGTATTATAGAATACAGTGGTACCTCGCAAGACGAATGCCTCGCAAGACGAAAAACTCGCTAGACGAAAGGGTTTTTTGTTTTTTGAGCTGCTTCGCAAGACGATTTTCCCTATGGGCTTGCTTCGCAAGACGGAAACGTCTTGCAAGTTTGTTTCCTTTTTCTTAACACCGTAAATACAGTTGCGTCTTGACTTCGAGGAGCAACTCATAGAACGCGGTGTGGTAGCCTTTTTTGAGGTTTTTAAAGACTTTGGTGATTTTTGAAGCTTTTCCAAAACTTTCCCGACACCGTGCTTCGCAAGACGAAAAAAATTGCAAGACGAAAAAACTCGCGGAACGAATTAATTTGTCTTGCGAGGCACCCACTGTACTGTGTTTTCATGCATTTCCCCCCAAGCCAGCTTTGACCTGAATTGAGAAAAAGAATGGCCTAGCTGTGGTTTTAAACCATTACTGTGTTTAAAGACAATATTTACAATGCATTGAGGTTGTTCTTTGGATCAAAGTTTGTTGGAGGCGGGGAACACAATCTAATCACAGTCTATGTACATATTACTTCTAACTCTGACTACAGTGCGCTCCCACCATTGATTATTCAAGACATGTACACATGTTATTTGCCACAGTCCATCTCAGTCCTGTATCTTGAGAAATACGCTGCTTCCCTCGAACCAGCTTCCCTCTGATTTGACAGATATGGATTGCGAACACCACATCATCATGTGTATATCATGTGTACACCACTTCCCAAACCAGCAGATGCAGAGTAAATAGGAGTACGCAGCCTAAATGTCACTCTTGAAACCTGGAATCAGAAAACACACAAGGCCTTGACTTTAATCTAGAATTGTGTGTATGAGTGCAAGAGTACCAACCAAAAAATTGTCACCCCACATTTTCCTATCTCATTATATTTCCAAACACCAAAGATTAAATTATTGCAATACTACAGTTCATCAGTAGATGGGGTGAGTCTTCTTCATTTTGAGGCTTCTCGCACAAGCCGATGCTTGTTTACTTTGAAGTATATCTACTTGAGTTCAGTGGGTTTTGCCACCAAGTAAACATTCTTAGCATGGCAACTCTATTAGAAAACACATCCCTTGAGACAGAATCAAATTTTCTTAGAACACATAAGCCAATACCTAAAACAGGCATAATTATTTTGTTTTACATTTTAAAGCATAAAAACATATATATTAAAGCAACTCATTTACCACTAAATCAGAACACTAGTTAAGCGCCTTCTGCCAGTATAGACTCTTCACCTCTTGAATTTCCCACCAGCCATTCTGATTTCATAGATACAGTACTGTTAGTTAGTTAGTTAGTTAGTTAGTTTAGAATAATATTTAAATACCGCTGTATCATAAAAAATATATCACTGTGGTTAACAATGTAAAAATATAAAACTAAGCAATAAAATCACAAAAAGCTAAAAGCAAAAAGGAAATTAAAATTTTGAGGAGCACATGATAGGGTGAAATAGAAGCCACTAAAAAGTGTTGTATTTTTGTTGCTTTCTACTAAACGATGGAAGACATTATACGTTTTATTGGATTAGCTTGTTCTTCACACTAAACTGGGACTTCAGTGGGAGAGGAAGGAGATTAAAATAGTCACCCCTGTGCAAACAGCCAATCTGCCTACATGCATGACAGACCACAGAATACGGTGTAACTCAGTGCTCAATCACAACACACTAACGGTAGTAGATTAACCCAACAGGGAGACCATATTTCAGATAACAGGGTGTGCTGGCCCTGTGTCTTGTACACTTAGTGATCGCAAGGGGGATTTCAGTGAGGAGAAGGGCACTGTGCACTTCCTGCGAGAGCCCACCTGTGTAGTTTGGTGCTCGGTTTATCTGAAATGTGGGTGCCATCACTTGCACAGTCCCTGACGTGCATGTTGTGGAGGTGTTTTAGGGACACAGTGTGCATGCCTGATGTTTTCCCACCATTTTTTTGTTTTGTTTTAGCTGGGTCATTTTCTTCTCTCCAGCTGGGCTGAGCACAGTGTAGTGACTGTTCCCCCAGCATAGCGCTAACATATCTCTAGCCCTCACATAATGTGAGTATAGGATTGCTGCGTCTGTGCTTCAGACCTTTGTGCTCAACAATTAAGCAGATGTTCCCTCATATTATTGCTTGGCTTTTTAGCTTAGTGTGAAGCTGGCTCAGTTAAATTTAAAGTTATCAACCTACCCTACAGTCCCAATCACATCGGTCCAACATGGCAGAAGTGAATGAAACAGCAGTACATACAACAGCTTAAACGTATAATACAAAGTGCCTAAAAAAAATGTAAGAAAGGATGAGAGAAACCCATGTTGCATTGCACTTCACATATAAGATAACTAAGCAATGCTCTTGTGGGATGGGCTTGTGGGTTTGTGCCAAGAACCTAATTAGAGCTTGAATTGCTTGTCGGAGATAAAAATAGGCCTCACAGCCGAACTTTTGTATGTAATCTTAGCACAAATTAAGCCCAAGACAAAAAGGAGAGTAGGGGGAAGAGGAACATAAATAGGTTGGCATTTGATAGCTATAATTTTATCCTCTCAGAGTAGCTATATGTTCCATACAAACACATAGGTAGGCAAATGGAAGGAGAGTCTGTGGTGTGATGCAAAGAAGACTCTTTCTTCCTACCATGGTGCTCAGTGGCATCTTATAATGCCTTTTGACATTTTTCCTTTCCTTTCCTTTTGCTGTGAACAATCTCAATTCAGTGTCCCTAAATCTGAAACATCCAGAACATATATCCAGAAAATATTAAAATTTGAAGCATGGATTCCATCTAACATTTGATAAATGTTGAAGATGCAAGAAACTGCATGAAGACTCCTTGTATAGTTTTTGAAAATGCTTCTCCGGGAAACCCTTTAGTTGGTTTATCTTTTGGGACAGACTACAGTTATTACTCAAGACCTGAACGTGTCTGCTGCTTGGTTGTTTACAGAATATAGTGAATAATAGAGATATAGAAATTGTTTTTTTAATTTTTAATAATATTTTTATAAAACGAGATCAATTCTCCACTCTATCAGTCTTATTTTACAATATATTGGATATCACTGTACTGATAAAACAAGGACATTCTGTGAGCGTTCTTGGAGGTAAACAAATGCACAGTCAATTCATAAGAGGCCATGATCAATGGTTGCAATTAATTGGAATGATAAATTTCACAAAAATGGCTCGGTTCACAGCTCAATCTAAGCCAAAGGCGGGGAACCTGTGGCCTGCAGGCCAGACTTGGAGCACCAACAGGCCTCCCCATTTAGCCCACACTCTTATTGTTGACAATTACAGGAAGGGCAAGATTTCCGAGACTGATGAAATCCTTTCCTCTAATGGGAGGCCTGTGCACACATGGTGCTCTCATCATTGGCTTTCTAGGGTGGCATCTAATGAATCACCCCCCCAAAAAGTCAAAACACAGATCTGAAAAAAGAACAAAAAATGCACATGTTGATTTAAGAAAAATAGTAACTGTAATTTAAATGGAAATACAATGTACCTCACCTTAGTGGGGAAGAATGTGACCAGGCGAGCTGTGTACCTGCTGTCTAGGTGGTAGTTGTTGATGGGAAACTTCTGGGCTCCTGCTCTCCCTTTTAATGGTTGTTGGGGTTTTTTACCAGACTTCGGCCAGATAGTCCTTCAAGTACAGGACAGCCCTTTAAGTGGAGAACTCTCTCTGTGTAAAGTAGGACACATGGCCACGCCAAGGTATTCACCCATTGTCTTCTAAATTAAGGCTGTTGAGTTTACACATCTTCCATTCATTTGATGGAAATGTTTGCCTTAAATAATTACAGCAACAGTAGTTTAAGGGAAAAAACCAGCAGTGCACTCAGTCAAAATCTAATAAACAGGATTGGTTTCTTCTACTAATGTTAGAAACCAAGGTATAACACAAACATGTAACAGAGACCGGTTATATATACAGTAGAGACTATGTAAACACAGATCCATTACAGTAAAAAAAATACTTAGCAATTCTTAAAAATTCAGCATATTATTATGTGAGTAAAAGGAGTAAACACACTGCGGCTGAGGTTTCACTCAGCATTCAAAGCTAACTTGCCTCATCTGTTCTTGAAGGCAGCAGCTCTGAAAGCTATTCAGAAGAATTTTCAAGAGCTTAGCATGTCTGAAAAAGGCTTCAGTCATAAGCATACCTACTCGGAAGTAAGCCCCATTCAATTTAAACGAATTGCTGCTAAGCATGCATGCTTAGGGCTATAGCTCAACATTTTATTTTATATTAAAATAAAGTGGTTTAGCCCTTCATTCTTTAAATACAGATCTTGATCCTATGGTTTCCTCATTATCTCTGTTCCAATTCATATGTGTAACAAATGATCCCTTTTTCTATTCACATATGTAGCAAATGATTCATTTTTTCTACAGCATACCCTTCACATTTGTAATGTATTCAAAGTGTCTGACTTTTACCTCTGAATTGGCCCTCTGCCCACCATTGTGTCATGCTATGTAAGATATAAACCAATGCATATTCAAGTGACTGTAATTAATCTGAAAGTTAATTTCTAAGACTATTTCTTTCAATAGTTTACTAATAGATCTCTCTATAATTGTTATGATAATATTGTAGAGATAAATGCTTTGTAACAGCCTCTAATACTAGTTCTCAAACTGTCTCTGAAAACATGTTGGAACAAATCTACTAACCACAGGGAATGAGCAATTCCAATTAATGGAATCACTCCAAAAATATTTCAATATATTGCCACATTTGAGATTTAACCACTTTAATTCAAAGAAGCTAAAAGATCTAAAACTACAGAGACATTACAGTGAACTTGAATAATCTGAAACAAGCTAGAGCTACTGGCTCTTGACAATTCTCTGTGAACTAAATACTGTATGCAATTTATTTTACTTGCAATACAGGATTGCACACCCTAAAGGTATTGCTTTATTTAAACACAAATTTATATAATGACTATGTTGTTTATAATACTTGCCCAAAATTAATTTATTAAAGCAGAGTATCTAAACAGCACACGATTCCAAATACAAAGCTGTTCCAAACATAAAATGTTCAGAGTTTATTTTCGTTATGCAGGTTAGAACTTGAAAGATCTGGATGACATCTAATACTCAAGAATACAGATGGGGGGCAGGGAAGAGAAACCAACCTTAAGTCAAGGGAATGCAATTGCTGATCATAGCTTTCAGAAGCAACAGCAAAGGGAAGCGGCCACAATTTTCTATGTCACCCACTCATAGTCCAGGACCTTTAATTGTAGCAGTAAAACTGTATTGACACAAACATAAGGCAAAGAGGACTACATACTCCCACTGTCAGCTCCAGGTTTTAGAAGACCCTCAGCTAGATGCCTTCAGGAACCCCACTTCAAGTAGTCCCACGTCCTTCTTATTACTGTTGACATTGCCCATCCATTTGTCCTGTCCTTTAGGCCTAATCCACACCCTAAGGAGAGAGTGAGGCGATTAGAGAGTGCTGGTCCATTTCTTCCTTGCTCCTTTCACTGCCAGCTCACTCAGGGCTGCTAGATGGGTAGCAGCAGGATGAGGGGGTTCTGGAGGTTGTCAGGGCCCAAGGAAGCCAACCTTGGGTGCCCCTAGACTGCTTTCTTCAGAAGCACATGCCTTACTTCTGTACAGTTCACATATATCTTTAGAAGTACAAAAATATATCCCCACAGGAATTAGTGGGCTAGGTTAAATAAATGAGGATATTCCAGCGCTGGTATGGTCTGCTTTCTTCTCTCTATGGCTGAGGCAACTATGGTGGGGTGGAACAGGCCCCAGCAGTACATGTATGGGCCCTTTAAAGAGGAGTCCAGACCCTTTTCCTTCTTCACTTTCATTATTCTCTCCGTGAAAATGGGAATTAATTATAGTTCAGTTTGTTTGAAGGAAGTAACTGTGCAGTCAGCCCAAATAGTGTATTGTGGTTGTCATTCTTCTTTTGCTGCATTGAGCTGATGCATATTTAAAGATCACCTGTGTTGTTGCAAAGGCTAGGTACTCAGATACAGTAAACATTTTATGTTGCAAAAATGAATGTGGTTCCTTTCACTAACAAAGGAAAGCTACACATGCACACTTAGCAAACTGAACAGAGTTACGTTACTCTTTCAATTTTACACCATAGAAGTAATGTGGACTGGACATTTTCTTTCATTTAGTAGTTGTTCTGATAGGTTCCATGCCGTCTCTTTGGCCATTCTTTTTCCACCCACTTCAGCAGCATTTTCTCAATATCAACTCTTTGATATAATTTACAGAGATCAATCAGCTGCTCCACAGTTCTGTCACTATTCCGTAGCAAAAACTCCAAGGTGGGGCTCTGTGGTTTCTGTTCCAGGAAACACAATTCATCGTAGGTCATTCCCCATTTGCTTGCAAAGTTTCTCCAGTTTTTCACTGTAGGGTGGGCAGGATCCAACTTGATCCTCATCATATACAGCAAGTCCTCATCATTGAGCAGGTCACTGATGGTTGGCTGGCGAGACAAACATAAGGAGCAGGTGCCATTTTCTGTACATGACTTCTTCAGAGCTAGAAGTACAATTATTTTGGAGTTATTCCTTAGCTTTGTGGTACATAAAACTCAATGGCCTCATTCAGCTGTACTGATCAATTAATTGTAGTTTATCAAACTGGGAATGAGCCATTTACCTATGTGCTCCCTCCTTCCCCTCTCCCCTCCACTGTGCGGATTCAACAAAACTTTATTGGTTTCTTAAGCCAAAGTTTCATGACACCAGAGCCAGGAAACTGAGATTTAAGAGGTCTCTTCAAGATATAGAGCTGTATTCTGGATATAAAGCCATGGCTTATCAAACCCATCTGAACTGGGCCAATACTTGCAATTCTGAAAAATAATATGCTTCACAAACTAGGGTTGACATATCTTGAAGAGCAAATAAGGGTGCCCGCTTGCCTCTTTCCCCAGCTCAGGCTAGCAGTGGCTGCGGTGTGCAGAGCAGCCCAAGCCGCCCAAGCCCTCAAAACTCAGACATTTCCTTTAAAATGTAAAAATCTGCCCGGATGGGCATGTTGGCCCCCCAAAAGAGGACATGTCTGGGGTTTCCCAGACATATGGGAACCCTACACAAACTGTTTCTGAAATAAATGAGCATATCTATGGTTTTCTTATGCACTACACAGAGAACATAGAAAGCATACAGACACAGAAAGCAGCCGTCTACTGAGATCATTAACCCATCTAGATTGGCATTGTCCATTCTCACTGGTAGTGGCTTCCCAAAATCTCAGACTACTTCTGTGAGATCTTATTAACTGGAGACAGCAGACGCATCATGTGTGCAACCCATGTGCTCTACTGCTGAGCTCTGACTAGCTAAATCCAACAGAGCTGATTATGCTACCATACTACCATGATACCTGATGAAGTGGCCTGGACATGCTGCTAATAAAAGTTGTATCAGAATGGGTTAACCTTCCAACTTCCCCAGTTAAAAAAAAACAAAACCAAAAAACCAAAAAAAACAGGAGCAGGGGCCTCATGCAAGTTATCTGGACAAACAAGTTCAATATTAATATTAATTTTCTGCATGTCTCCACCTAACAGGATCACTTTTAAAAGACACCTTGAGCATCCACTAAACATTTTGTTAAAGTCTGATCTAAGGAACTATGCTATAATAGAGCACAGTTGTGTAAGATAAAAGTGTTTGGGGTTTTTTTTAAACAATCAACGTAATAAAGATAATTCCCTTTGTTTGCTGGCGGTTCTAAATTCAATCCAGGCACTAAGTTCATTTGGCAAGGGGCACTGCATTACCTGTAGGTGATTCACCAGTACTACTTTGGCTGTCATCATCTTCTTCTGGCTGCAAAAAAAAGTAACGTTGATTTAAAGTCTTGTTCCAGGGAAAGGAACTTTAATTTATCAACCTATGAGGCCTGAATCTAGAGAAATACGTAAGTAGCTATTGCTTTGGGGGGGGGAAGATGAGCGGGTGAGATTAACCATTTTATGCAAGGCTTTAAATGATTTGGACAAACATTTCTCAGCAGTAAGGTTAGGCTAAGAAGGACCCTGATGATGGCAACAGATCAGCAGCAACAGCTTGTACTATTACGAAAAGGCTATAAACCCAGATGAAGAAAACCCTTTCCCTGTTTATTTTAGGTTTTAAAGATTAGAGCAACGAGGGGCTTTCCCTTGAGATATCTTCAGGAAAATACAGTTGCCTTTTGTATAGCTTCATTCACCCAAGAGTATCACAAAACACTCTGGATCAGATCGTATGTTGTGCATGCAAATACAGGTAAACTATGTAGTTATATAAGACACTGTAACCAGACACCTTGCCCACCTACGCTTAACTGCATCAGTAAATCCATTCCAAATAAGCTACATAGATAATGTATGTGCTACGGCCATGGCAACTATGCACACAATGCCTAATCTGTCTTCTGGGGATAATCAGAATCCGCAGAAGGGGCAGGCAGAATCCTACACATTTTTATCTCGGTTGAAAGTCAGTGTTCCCTGCACCATTCTCTCTGGTGAAATGTTACATGCTAATGAGAGAGTTGTAGTCATAATCAAGAGGCTTCTCCCTCACTGGATTTCTCTTTTCCAGTACTAAATAACTTTTATTTATATTGTCAGATTTGCATAAACCCTAGACACCAGTCGACTAAGGATTTCTCACTGAAATCTTTGGAAATGTTGCTCAGCTGATATCTGTATCTCAGGGCTGGGGCAGGGCAGGGGGGGAATTTACTACAGTCGTACCTCGGAAGTCAAATGGAATACGTTCCAGAAGTCCGTTTGACTTCCAAAATGTTCAGAAACCAAGGTGCGGCTGTTAATTGGCTGCAGGAAGCTCCTGCAGCCAATTGGAAGCCACAGGAGCCATGTTGAGCATCCGGGTTCCAAAGAATGTTCGCAAACTGGAACACTCCCTTCCAGGTTTGTGGTGTTTGGGAGCCAAAATGTTCAACTCGCAAGGTGTTCAGGATCCAAAGTATGGCTGTACTGCCATTACTGTGGTTTTTCCCAGCTCTCCTAAAGTTTTGGCATAGAACTGTAGAGCTGGAAGGGACCACGAGGGTCATCTAGTCCAAGCCCCTGCAATGCAGAAATATTTTGGGAATATGAAGAGTCCCATGCTTTACCGGCTGAGCTATTAAGAGCTATTTAAAACGAAGAAAACAAGACAGGATATGATAGCGTGTGTTGCTTCTGGTTGCTGAGACGCTGGTGGACTTTCTCCAGAATAGAGATAGCAGGAACTGATAGAAACATGACCAGAAGTATGTTTTCCAACATCAGTCAGATACCTTTGGAAAGAGCTAGACACTAAATATCAGGTATCTCCCACGGTGACCAAGGAAGACAACTAGATATCAATCCTGTAGCAGATGAATAAATCCAAGATGAAACTCTAAATGGGTAATCTAATGTGAAAGGAGATGGCAACACCTAGTAGAGCATAGTGGGATGTACCCCTCTGTTTTCCAAAGTCAAGTGAATCATTGGCTCATTCTGTTCAACCCTGCTGAAAACTATGGCACCCCAAATTAACCTCTTTGTGTTCAAATGGAATTGACCTACCAGAGTCTTTGAATCGTATCAACAAGAACACTTTACAGGAAGAATGAAGCTAAAGCAGGATAAAATTAGTATACTGTGTGCCAGATTGGCATTTCAGAGCAAACTGCAAAAGCAGGATAAAATATTGCTTTGTTTGGATTTATATTAAAACACCCAATTTTGCATAATATCTAAGAATTCTCGCTAAACCCAAGGTGGCCCCCCTTTTTAGAAAAATGTGCAACAAGACAACAACATGAGATCCTCCCATTACAGTGTGTGCTGCCATACATATACAGCCCCCTGTCCCTTGTGGTAGTTTAGCTTTGTGTCTTGTGAGCCAGACAAGCAGGCTGCAGTTCAATGCCAGAGTGGTAGGTAGGAGCTCAGCTGTTCCTGTCAAGACATGCCACAAACTCCACCAATTCAATAAAAGATTAATTCACATGCAATTACTTCTAAAACAACTTCAAATACAGTTGTGTCCATTTTGGTGCATGTTAGTCAGTGTATGTTTATACTGTAAGAGAAGTAACCAGCTATTAAAACATTGCCATTTAACAAGATCATTTTTATTGCCTATTAATAAATTGCAAGACCAGACAGAACTACAAATTTGCCTTCCATGAGTTGGAAGATGAGAAAAACCAGTACACCCTAAAGGCAAAATGTAGCTTCTGCAAATACACTGAGACATTTGTAAAGGGAAATCAGTTTCACTGCTTTAAAACACACACACACACATACACACTTCAACTGAAGTCAGAAGCCAGTTTAATATGATGTGTTGCTTTTGACGAAGACCTTTTGTTCCCTAAGGGTACAATCCTGTACTCAAGTTCAGCCAGCTGAGGGGCTATAGGATTTGGTGGAAGCACTACTGCATTGAAGAACTTGAGACACATTAGCACAAAAAGTACATCAGTGAAACCACACAGAATATGCTAATAGAACATTCTACTGGTGAAAGTACAGGAGCAAAACAGCCAAAATGGGATGTAGTCATGGGGGTGGGGCACAGAGGAGGAGCACACTTGCATCAAATCCTCCAAACCACGACCACATCCCCACGGAGAGCACCACTTCACACCAGTCCCAAACCTAACACCAAAAAATGGCCTCTGGTTTACTTCCATGAGAAGTGGGTGAGGTTATGCATTAATGAGCGCCTCACCCACACTGCCATAACAGAGCCCAGAATAGGGTGTGACCCAGCACCTAATCGGACCAGTAGCTAGACCTCAGCATACAGGCTTCATAGTGACATCTAGTGATGCTTTCCTTTGAAGCCTTGATGGTTGGGACTTCAAAGAAAACTGGGGTTTTCAAACAGCCCCTTGCAAACATCTTCTCATGAAGATGTTTACAAAGGAGCTTTCAGGCCCCCTTTCCCTCATGCATTTCTTCTTCAAATGAGGGGATTGAAGGCATGCTCCCCTCCACCCATTAACTAAATAATTGGTGGGAGCACACCTCGTCGGATCAAAGGAACAACTGGAAACTTTACACTTATGTACACCTTTGAGGACCCACCATTACCCAGACCATACCTGACATCATATAGGTAAGGCAAAGATAAAGGGCCCCTGGACGGTTAAGTCCAGTCAAAGGCGACTATGGGGTGTGGTGCTCATCTCACTTTTCAGGCTGAGGAAGCTGGTGTTCGTCCACAGACAGCTTTCCGGGCGACATGGCCAGCATGACTAAACTGCTTCTGGTGCAACGGGACACTGTGATGGAAGCCAGAGTGCACAGAAATGCTGTTTACCTTCCCACCACAGGGGTACTTATTTATCTACTTGCACTGGTATGTTTTCGGACTGCTAGGCTGGCAGAAGCTGGGACAGAGTATGTCAGGGGTGGGGCAGATGGGCATGGCTTCCTGAAAAGGGCCTTGTGGGCCAAATGGGCAGGCCTGGAGGACCATGTTTGGTCCACAGGCCAGGAGTTCCCTACCCCTGCTACAGAGCCTCCAACAGTGTGGGAGTTTCTTTGAGAGCTGCTTGCTGCCATATGATCCTGACCACCTGTTAAGATCTTAACTGGAGACCCAAGGTGCCCATGCTTCAAATATGAGATAGATGTTGACCTGGGATTGCCTGGGGGTTGAGGGCTTTTCCATGGCTTTGTGTCATCTCTTTCCCCTTTTTATCTTTTGAACACCAGACTAAAACAAGACTTCTGTTGAACTAGTAGTAAGCTGTTGGGACACAAAAAATGTTAATTAAGCTTTATGTATCAGCAAAACATGCTAGATTAACAGCTTACCTGTTGTATGAGACCCGAATCAGATGTCAGGCTCCTAATGTTAACAGATGCTATTTCCAACGTCACTTTTTCTGTTTGGTATTCATCGTCTAAAAAGGCAAATTCTGAAGTGTTAGACACATTCAGCTCTCACCATCTTTGCTTACTAAAATTCAGCTAGATTATGACGACAATTTATATATCAGGGCAAGAAGCCAGCTGTGCAGTTCCACACATACTAGCAAAACCAGCAATGGCTTGCCAAGAGCTCTACATATTGCAAAAGAGGCAATTTATACCAGGGGGCACAACATCCGGTTCACTGGCTCCCCACAACATGGAGGCCATGGATTAAAAACAACAATAACAGCATCCCACTCTGTGCATGTGCATTATGAGTGAAGAATCACCACCATTCGTTATGCTAAACACCTCTCCCAAAACACCTGTCTTACTCTTATTGCATTTAAAGTTGCATTTAAATACCCAGTCCCATTTGATTTGCAAAAAAATGCTCTATCTATCAATCTTGTCCAACTTTACACAGGATTTGGCAGGGAACGGGACTTTGTACTATTGATGCTATTAACTCCAGTCTTGTCTACTCAATTTTAAGATGCTGGGCTTGACACGATGAGAGACGGAGGAGAAACAGAAGGCACAGGCCACAACTGCAATAGAATAATAAAATGTTCTATGGTGTTGCTGAGGCACAGCACTCATTCTGCAGCAATTAATCTGATGGGCCAGCTAACAGGCACTTTGAACTATGTAAATCACAGTTGCCAGGGAGCAGGATTGTGCCTCTGCAGGTGGGCAGTTTAACTACCAACAGAAGCTTTCTTCTCAATTCAAACAGGAGCATGGTGGGGACATTTTTTGGTCTGCACCACTGCATGTCCTGCTGTGGCCACAATCCTGCTCCCCATGCCTACTATTTGCACTAGAAAAAAACTCAAGCATTTTCATTGAATTCCTGTACCTAATGTTACACTTGGTTAAAGTTACAGCAAAAGTGACACCAATGTTGCAATTCTAATCACATTTACTAGGAAGTAATGAAGCTCTTTTGGCATGCATTTAGAATGTGTCAAACCCACCTTTCAGGGCATAACCCTTCCAAGACAGTTTACATGGATTTTCTAAAACAAAATCACATAAAACAAAATTTCCAAACAACCCTCTAATTAATGATAACTTTTATTGGATATCAAATTAAACATTCTTGAATGAGGTCTCTTGACGCCCCAGGCTGTCTGGAGTGGTGGGAGGCCTGGTTGGGACTTGCCTGTATTGTGAGCTGTTAATGGTGCTGTTCCCACCGAAGTTCCAGACTCTCTACTGCTCAATGGGATTCACCTCTGAATACTTAAGACATGCTTAAGCCTAAACTGTCTATTGCCCTTAAAATATAATGCTGCTCCCTTCTGCTGGTGATGGGGAGAGGGCAAAAAATTGATGTACATGTGTTGCAAAAGGCAAACAGGAGCGAGCCATGCATGCATGATTATTTTTTTAAAAAAAGATGTTCACAATGTCTGGTGGCACAGAAGAAGGTTGGGGCCGCTGGAGTGAAGAACAGGAGAAAAGGCAGGGCAGGGCAGGTCACCTAGCAGCAGGGTGACTGGGGAAAAGGTGCAGTCAGAGATCATAATAGGCATAACACACTTTACACAGAGACAAACTTTTTGCACAAACACGCAAGAGTTTAGGTGGTGCAATAGCTGTGGGGGAGAGCATGGTGAGGAGCTGGGGGTGGAGGGAACAGAGTGATTAGAGCAGGGGTAGGCAACCTAAGGCCCGGGGGCCGGATGCGGACAAATCGCCTTCTCAATCTGGCCTGTGGACGGTCCAGGAACCAGTGTGTTTTTACATGAGTAGAATGTGTCCTTTTATTTAAAATGCATCTCTGGGTTTTTTGCGGGGCATAGGAATTCATTCATCCCCCCCCCCAATATAGTCTGGCCCGCCACATGGTCTAAGGGACAGTGGACCGGTCCACGGCTGAAAAAGGTTGCTGACCCCTGGATTAGAGGGTGGAAGGGAAAGAAAGGGAGGCATGGGGAAGGGGAGAAAGAGCTTAAGGGCTGGGAGCACAAGAAATATCGAGCACAGAGTGGGAGGTGGAAGGAAAGCAAGGGTAGCAATGGGGATGGGGCAGAAATAGCAAGGCTAAGGGGTGGAGAGAGATATTTTAGGTGCTGCAAGAAAGGAAGCCATCTTTCTCCCAAGTGCAGCAAACGAGAAGAGAGGTCACTCCCTGGTTCCTGCTTTAAACCAAGGCAACCTGCCTGCTCCTTCTGCTGCTTTCATCCAAAAGTCCAAAGTGATGTGTTGTCTAAGCTCCTCTCAAACATTCCCAGCTCTACTGGGGAAGCTGGACCTTCTGCATTCAAAGCAGTTGCTCCACTGCCGAGCTACAGTCCATTCCTCTGTGTGAAGGCACTTTTGCACACAGATTGAGGGACTGACAATTTCACTTCCAACAATATCCCCATAGATTTCCCTGAGTTCCACTCCCGCTCCCAAGCAGCATCTTGGGCAGGACTGCAATGAGAAGGGATAACCTGAATAACCCCATGTGATGTTCCATGTGTGGTCACTTGGTATGCAGACAGTAATTAAGTGTTTTAAAAACAAACTTTTCTACATTGGCTTTAGAGACATTTCAATGTATATTTTCCACATCAAGTGACAACCACACTTATTTTGCATAGTTTAGGAAAGTTTTAGATAATTACAAATATATAGCTACTACAATTTTCTGCACTTACCTTTTGGTAGTGCTGTGTCTTGAACAGGGTACTTGTTTGTCTGTTCAAAAGATGGGGAGACAAAATATGCCATCAGATATATTTTGACAAACTTAATTGTTGTTGCCTTGTAAAACTGTCTTTTTCCATTCCTCTACATCAGGCCTACCAAACTGAACAGAGTGTGAATTGCCATGTATGGCAGCTTGCTAGGTACTCCACAATCCTCCTGTTTCTGCAGTCCAAGACAGGAAGGAACACGGAAGAAACAAACGGAGCTTTGTTAAACCCTTTAGTGGGCTTCAGAAGCTAGGAAGCTATCTTACACCAAGTCAGACAATTGGTCCATCCAGCTCAGTATTGTCTACACTGACTGGCAGTGGCTCTCCAGAGTTTTAGACAAAAGGGGGCTTGGCTTGGACCTTCTGAATGCAAGGCAGATGCTCTACCACTGACCCACCATCCTTTTCCCCATGGTGGTGGTCTGAAAGCTTCGATAACAGATATAGAAATTGCAGAATCACAGATGTCATGGAGCTGCCACTGAAAACAGCATCCCTCTCTCCTTTTGATACTTGTAATGCAACTTGCCCCATACCTTGGCTTAATTATTCTAAGTGTTTCCCTCTCTGTCCCATTTCACATCATATGAGAAGGTATCATACATAGGAAGGTAATAGAATTAGCTGAATTATGCATTGTGGTGGGAGAAGGGAGGATCTCAGTGGCCTGGTTCACATGTCACAGTAAGCCAAACTATGGCTTCTGAGAACCATGTGAATGTGTAGGTTCCCCAAACCCAGGAATAAGGTTCAAGTCTGTCCACCTTAATCATGACCGGTAACCGTAGATCAGACCTCAGTTATGGCTCAAGGTTTAAGAGGAGAGACCTTAAGCACAGTATCAGGTCCAGATTTCACCAAATGTCCTGAAATACCAGAGACTTATGAACCTGTTCTGCCAGTATTAAAAACTATAAAATGGTAACCAACATTTACAATAATTGAATTAACGGTTACATTTCATTACAATACATTCAGGAAATTACGTACTTCTTCTGAGGATAAAGTGCTAGGGTCTGTATCTTCTACTGGCTCTTTCATTGCCTGATCTGCTGGAAACAAATAAAGGAAAGTTTTAATTTGTGTTTCTCAACATCTCCAGTCTACTTTAATTGCCTCCATTGTATATATAGGCAAGTGTTAGTTTGTAACACAAAGGAATGTTTCACATTCTGGTTTTAAAATTGTTATTCTAGCAGAATAAATAATCATAAAATCATATGCACTTTCATTTTTCTCTAACTTTAATGAAAAATTATCATCTGCCACAAGCAGTTTTTGCCAAGAGTAACACAAGTGCATTTTAGATAGAATAAACCTATTCTGATAAGCCACATTTACCATGTTTGTCAGATGAGAAAGATGACATGTGCCTGCACACTTCCTCCTTGCACCTCCCATTCTCTTCTCCTATTTTTTTAAAACCACAGTTTCCTGTGACATCTGAACTGCCAAACTTTGCTTATGATATTTCTTATATCATTTTGAATCATCTATGTATTTTTTGTGTTGTCATTTTTATTTATCAGCTAAGCAATCTTATATTCTAGTTAAACCAAGAGTGCGAACAAGCCGCTGCTATGCCATGAATAGGGCCAGGGCGCAGCCAGAAGGGAACAACAGACCACATTCTATCTAGGGTAGTTCCAGACCACAGGCTGAATTTCCAAACAAATAGGTCACTGGCAACGCTTTAAACAACAACAACAAAACATCGTATTTCCCCTGGAAAGGGTAAATCTGGATTAAATGGGGAGCGGGGATATGGGCTGCAATTTTAATGACAACATGTGAATGCTGCAAAATACCTGCACGCATGAGGAGCACCAATGTCACTTGCCACTATCAGAAAAGCTGCAGCTCAAACGGAGCGGCAGAAAAAAGAGTAAGGAGGGGTGGCTGGAAAGAAAGTCTCCCCCTTCCACTTCCTGGCCATCAAATTTCTTGGGCCTGTCACTTTCTCTCAGCCTGCCTCAAAGGATTGTTATGATGACAAAAGATTATATGTACTGTACTTTCCTGTGAGGACTGTACTGTGTGCCTTGTTTGCTATTTAAATTGGATCCAAGACCAGACCTAAGTGCCAAGGGAAGTAAGGAAGAGTCAGGTATTACTTTGCCAAACAGCCCAATCCTGTGCATATGAACTTCAAATGAAGTCCCCTGAGGTTTGAGATGTTTTATTCCCGCATAGATTATCTGGAACACCAGAATCTTTAGAAATGGATTTCTGCTATATGTTGTGATTTAGTTTCTGTTCATTAGCAACATCCCTTTGTACTGTATAACCGTTTTGAAGTTGAAGCAATTGAGAGCTTGGATCAAAGAAATTCCATGCTCATCATCCTATCAAACTAATTATAAAGTTCTGAAAGCCAGCCTGAAAAAGATAAGCAAGAATAGATAAGTATCACTCAAAGCTAGAAGTACTGGATACTTTTCCAGTCCTCAGTTCACCTCTAATTTCCTGGTGCACTACTAAGCTTAAATATGGCTCCAGCTCAGCCGTATCAAAACAAGCAGCAGAGCAAGAATTATCTTTACTCTGATACTTTCAGATGAGGTTCTCAAACAGGGGAAGAAGCATCCAGGAGGTGGGCTGTTCTGAATGGTGGGGTTGCACTCCTAGAAGAAGCAGGTTTTGTAGCTTGAGTGTGGCTTTAGTAGCTTATTTAGTAGCCTTATTTCCTGCTCTGCTTGGTTCCCCAGCTTCTGGCCTCTTCTGGACACAGATGACTAGGCCACAGTACTCCATGCTCTGTTAACTTCTAGATTAGATTACTGCAATGCAATCTATGTGGGGCTGCCCTTGAGGATGACTCCAAAACCTCAGCTAGTCAGATTATTATTGGCTGTGGTTTCCATTCAAACTCATATAAACCCTGTTCTAAAACAGCTGTGTTGGTTGCCAGTCTGTTTACAGAATTAATGAAAGGTGCCCTAAACAAGTTAGCTCCCAGATATCTGAGAGACTACCCTTCCCTACAAACCCTTTTGAGTGTTTGGATCAGAGCCCTCTTGGTAGCTTCACTGCCCTTCATGGTTTTGTTTTTTGCGGGGCGGGTATCTGCAGTAGCCCTTAAATTGTAGATTTCCCACCGCAGAGCATGGCTCTGGCACCTTCTGAAGAGATTTTGGCAAATGCTGGACACACTTCTTTTAGGCCTTATGTTGTCCAACAGCATACAGTGGTACCTCAGGTTAAGTACTTAATTTGTTCCAGAGGTCCGTACTTCACCTGAAACTGTTCTTAACCTGAAGCACCACTTTCGCTAATGGGGCCAACTGCTGCTGCCGCGCCGCTGGAGCACGATTTCTGTTCTCATCCTGAAGCAAAATTCTTAACCTGAAGCACTATTTCTGGGTTAGCGGAGTCTGTAACCTGAAGCGTCACTGTATTCTTAAAATAAAGTTCCCCGTTAAAAAAAGAGTAAGTGTGTGTGTGTGCTGGTCACTTGTGCCTCAAGTGTGTGACCTGTACAACTGCATTCTCTTTCTCACTTAACTTGAAAAGCGTTTATAAACTAAATTACGCTCGGGACAGGTAGAAATTTGTTCTTGCTGAAGGATATAGGGAGCAATTCTCAAAAGTTACAGGATAAGGCAATTTTTTGCAACAATTTTGTGCACTTCAGAGGGATGCTGCAGGGCTTAATTTCGTTCGTGCATGAGTGAATGATTCATCAAGTCCTTTGAGGGTGAGGTGCTACAGAAAGGGCTTTTTAAGCATTGCTCCCGGTGCACGAAAAGTACAGGAGGAAGGAAAGCCTCGGACACACGCTCTCTTTCTCTCCACGCAGCACTGCGCGTGCAATGATTTCTGCAATGGGTTTGCGGGAGTCGGGGCTACCAAGACCTGTCGGCGATCTGCGGCATGAATAAGACCAAAGTGAGGCCAGAGGCGGAGAAGTGGCTCGAGCTATGGCTGCCTCCGCCTCTCGCCTCGGAGCTGCAAGCGGAGTGGCTTCGCAGCGGGGCGAGGGGAGGAGGATCAGTGTCCACCCAGCGAGTCCGCCCTCCGGCCCGCCCCAGCGGCCACTCCAGGACCCCGCCTCCCTCCCCTTGCCCAGCCCAGCCCCACTTCTCGGCGGCAGAGCCCGCAGGCTCCCGGCCACAAAAGACGCCCAGCCCCTAGCCCCTTTCCCACCAGACGCAGCAGGCAGATCCCAAAGCAGGCGCCCTTTACCTTCGGGCAGAGGAGGGTCCCCGGGAGAAGCCATTGGGGAAGGGGAGGGAGAAGCTCCAGGGGAACGTGGGCCCTTGCGACCGGGCAACCCCCCTCGATCCCTCGATCCAGGCTCTCCCGCGGTGCTTCCTTCCCACTTCCTGGTCTGGTCCTGATCGAAGCCCTCGCTGGCTTGCTCGCTCTCCCTGCTGTACGCGAGGAGTCTCCGAAGGGAGCGGAAGCTGCAGGTAAAAGCCCAAACTTAGCAGGGGAAGAGCCAGGTGCGGGGCGGGGGGAGAGGTGCTCTCCCCACCCCCAAGCTGCACTTCATGCTAAACAGTCCTCTCTCCGGATTCACCTTCGTCTGCCTTTTTTTTCCCTTTTAAAAAGCACCTCCTGGCTAGATGGGGATGCGGATTATAATAATAACTTTGGGGAAAGTGTGTTGCACCTTAAGAACTGAGACGCCTTCGCATCCGCTGAGAGAGGCAGCGGGAGGAGTCATCAATTAACTTTAAATCTCCGCTTGAGGAAACATGTTGATGCCTTAGTAGTAAACTTTACTTCCATAAACTACTCCGCTAATGAGGAACAACCCCAGATGTGATATTAGTACATAGAAAGGTAGTACCGATCAGTGGCGTAGCGTGGGGGGTGCAGGGGGGGCCGGCTGCACCGGGCGCAACATCTGGGGTTAGGGCAAATCCACAGGTTAGGGGGCGCAAATCCATGGGTTAGGGGGCGCAAATTACTTGCCTTGCCCCGGGTGCTGACAACCCACGCTACGCCACTGGTACCGATTTCCGTAAAGATGGCTTCAGGTAAATTTAGTTACCGTATTTGAAGCTGGGGGGGGGGAGCGGAATCAAAGGGTTCCATAAGCACCCTATTAGGTTACACAAATATTGACCAACTTGCATTTATTTTTGGCACAAATCCCATCCTACAAGCACATGAGTGGTCAGATTTTATTTTCAAGTCAGTTATATTAGAAAATGGGTTCTTTAATTCTACTCCAGTGACCTGGGGGCAGTAATTGGAAGGAAACCAAAGTGTGGGTGAGTGAGTGTTTTGTAGGCACTGTCACTTTCCTGTGACTGCTTTTTATGTTACCCAGGATCCTTGCTATGCAAGTCCTGCCTTTCTTTCATGCTACCCCACTCATTATAATGAAGTGTTCTTGTAAAACCCAAGTTCCTATCAGGAGTTTTACACTGAATAGTTGAGGACTGAACTTGAATGTTATGCTCTGAAGTTCCCTTCCAGTCCCCCTAACTATTCTTTATTCTTCTCCCTCAGAATTTGCCTTACACTTAGATGGAAATGGAAGATTCTGAAGATGAAGAGGTTTTCACAAAGAAAAACTTTCTCGTCTTGGGGAGGATAACCTTGATGATACTCTACTAGATTATGATTTTTTCAGGCCCTCCCTTGACAGCAGGAAAGTTTGAAGAATTGCAAACAAAGGATAGTAGTTTACTGGCCAGCCAGGATGCTGCCCCTGATGTTTAAGCAAAAGCTGAGGAGGCATCAGACCCACTGCTAATGAAAGAGTTTGTCCCTCTGACTCCTGTCCCAGGGATTCAGGGAAGTGTTCTGCATCACAACTCTCCCATTCACTGTTTATTTACATTGCATTTACACCCCACCTTTTTCCTCCAAGGAACTTAACTTACCGTACATGGTGCTGCCTCATTTCATCCCTGCAACAACCCTGTGAGGTAGGTTAGGCTGAGAGGCAGCAACAGGCCCAAGGGTACACAATGAGCTTGAACCCTGGTCTTCCAAATCCTAGTCTGACATTCTAACCACTACACCACATTGCCTCTCCTAATTCCACAGTTGTTAAGTAGAATGATGCTATGATTCCAGTACTGAAGTTCAGTGTTGAAGGCTCAGAAGATAAAGCAAAAGGAGAACTCCCACATCATTTCAGGGGAGTTTTTAGATTTAACTCGTGCTGAAATGATGACAATATGTTGTTGGCATCCATCTGTCTCAAGAGACAGTGGAGTGAGTCTCTGGGGGTCAAGTCAAACTGCTGTGTTAGCAGCACCAAAGTGACTTCCCTGGGTTGCAAGCCTTGGCAGTGTTTATGAAAGGTCTTTGGGATAAGACAGGCTTCCTCAACCTTGGCCCTCCAGATGTTTTGAGACTACAGTCCCCATCATCCCTGACCACTGGTCCTGCTAGCTAGGGATCTTGGGAGTTGTAGGCCAAAAACATCTGGAGAGCCAAGGTTGAGGAAGCCTGGGATAAGGCCTCCCTCTCGGCCTTGCTGATGTGGTCCAAAGGAAAACGGAGCAATACATTTGGCACTAGCTTGGCTGCAGGAGTTGTTAGAAGGGGGCGTGCAAGGTTCCATCCAACCATATTACGGACTCCAGATTTGTGTAGGGTTTACTCCTTAGCCTTTTCTTCACCCGAAGATATCCCATACAGATCATATACAAACCAATTAACCTAACATCTACTGATAAAACACAAATATTTCTAAGCCCTAACTTGCATCCTCCTAAAACTTCCAGCAATCCAAACTAGTTAAAAGCTTAGTGTTTATTTTTTTTGGCCATATAGCAATCTAATCCAAAATTGCCTTATAGCTAACAAGTGCTTTATAGCTAACAATCCAAGCAGGAATTTTGAAACTGCCTTCTGTAGGCTCTGAGGAGAAGCTGCCGAACATGAATCCAGCGTATAGGATCCAGAATGGTACTAATGGGAAATAAGTTCACGTAAAAATAGGGGGAAATGTTTTAAATTGGAATAGTAAAGTCTGAGCTTCACAAGGGAATAAACAGAATAAACTAAAATTAAAAGGATTTTTGGAAGGAACAAAATGATATAAAAACTGCATATAGTCAAAACCATGCACGCACCAGACGTCTAGACCCCAAAAGACTAGCTCAGAATTAATTGCTAAAGTAGCTTCTAAAGCTAGAGGAAGGACATGCTCAAAACAAGAAACCCCTTCTCTCCGAGAGAAGGCAAAAAGGCAAGCTGGGCTCCAAAGACCTCAACAAGCAGAAATGTATTAGAAAGCAAAAATAAAATCAAGCAATGTGAGCTCTAGCATGGAGGTAATCTCTTTCTGATCTCTCTGCACCTCTTCATTTTCCTGTCTTCTGATTCACTCTTTTCTTACTAAATTTCAGTTCTGTATTAGTAAATGACACCAGAAGCAAACTCCTGTAGAACAAGTGTTTTGTTTTTATTTAATTGTTTGGTTGGACTAACATATTCTTGAACCTTACTGGGGTACAAGGAACTTCATGAAGGCCGTTCAAAACTGCCAACAAGTCGTCTTCATCCTGGGGCATGATCTCAGCTTGACTAAAGCCTTGCCAGCCTAGTGCTGCTGGCTGTGGGGAGTAGAACACCTTATATCTTCTTTGTGATCTCAGCTTGTCTAAAGCATTGCCAAGCTTTCCATTTCTCATGATCCAGCAGGGTCCAGGCAGACACAGACATTTCTGCCTTTAAAGCAGATGTTCAGGCATGCTTAAATGATGAGCCAGAGTCTTCTTGACCAAGGTTTACTTCAATTCCATTCCACAGCTTCTGAAAATATCGCCTTCACCAGACACGTAGATTGGCCCACCAAACTGAGAAGAGCAACAATATTCAATACATTTGCGGCCTGCATAGATGACCAAGCAACTCTTGGGTGCAACTGCGTAGCAAATTATGTGCTAAAATGATCATCAGTATCTGCCTGTAGGTTTGCAGCCTCTTGGAAGTTGTAGCCCAATAACATCTAGAGGGCCACAGCTTCCCAATTCATTGGTCTAGGACTCTAGGCAGATGTTGGGCTGCCTCTTCTAGTTCCCTGTTGCCTTCTGGATACAATTCAGTATCTTGCCTTTGGCATTAAAAAGCCGCTCGTGTCTTGCTACTACCATAAACATTAAGATCAACTGTCAGCATCTTATTGCTTGCATCATCCTGTACCAATGGACTGCTCTTGGTGGTTGCCCCATATTTGTAGAACTACTGTTCTGTAGTAGAGATCTGTCAAAATCTGAGCTTTTCTGAATATTTTCTGGAATAACTATTTTGACTGGTATTCTAGCTGCCAGAGTTAATATAGCAAATGATTAGTTTAATTTACTTTAATAATAAAAATACACTGACTTGAAACAACACAATTTTGTTCTAAGACATGGTGTTTGTATATTTGATTTTTATTACATGTATTTATTTTATTTTAGAAAAGGTGGGCTAAAAATGAACCGGAATGATCCAGTCAGTGTTAAAAATAAAAAATCCTATTGATTTTAATGGGAGAGTTTAAGCACATGTTTAAGCATTCCCCACTGGAATAACTGTGATGAAGAACTGCATCACTCTGATCCTGCTCTAATTAAGCAAATTGTTTTTGCTTGTCTTTAACCTTCACTGTAGAGACTTTTTACTGTTTGAATGTTCCCAACCCTCTGGCTAGGCATCCTCTGCATAGGATGCATGGTTGGGAGAGCTTTCCTCCTGAAAACTTCTTTCTGTTCACACTTCTTAGGATCCAAGACACAGACTCCTTCTTCAATGAATGGTCAATCCTGTTTGGCTGATGGTGCAACTCTAAGCATGTATACTCAGAAGTTCAATGGGACTTATTCCCATGAAACTATGGACAGGATTGCAGCCTAAATGAACTTGCTTGAAAGATCAATGTAGGAAAAAACCTTATTGTACAATGATATAAAGAGACGTTTGTATCAGTGTGCAACAACATTGTTTGCCCTTGGCCTCAGGGCTTGATGGATGACAAGTAAAAGGAATAAATAAACTACAGATTCCTATCACAAATCCTACATTTTATAAATTTCTTGATGTTCCCTTAGAACCACCAAGCTGCTCGTTGATCCTTGTAATATCCACTTGATGTTTGAAGTACATATCCATAAAACACAGACTTTCATGATCAAATCCTTCAGGGTTTAACCAGAAATAAGTTGGCTCTACATTCAGTTTATTTAGAATGATGACTTGTGCCTACTGAGCTGTGAAAACTTGATTTAGAAAAATCACATGCTAGAGGCCTCTTGGGACTCAACCATTTCTGAATACACATAGGGAATGATGCCACTGGGAATAATTACCCCTCAAAAAATAAAATATATCTCTGCCCCCAAAAGCCAACTTCTCTGAAGCTGTCAGTTGCTCAAGAAATATTGTATTTCTGGCAGCCCCCGTTTTTAATGTTAGCATTCTGTGTCTTGTGGCTTTCACTACAGCTAATTGTTGATAACGAGTTTATGTTTCAATATGACAATTCTTAGACAATAATTTAATACACCCACCTGTAAGTTTCTGTTGACTATCCGGAACAGAAATCTGAAGTATACATTTGACTCCCAAGGTGACCCATCTGCTGAGCAGGTATATCTGGAGGGACAGGAAAGTACCTTGAGTAGCTGAAGAGACATGGTAAAATTTTAATGGAAATGAGCAAAATAATTAAAGATGAAGGAAACCCCGGGCAGTATGCAGAAGAAAAAGCAGTTGACAGCAAGAAGAACATAAGATCCCTGCTGGATCAGATCTAGGCCAACATGCAGCCTCTGAACCTGGATGTAGGATATAATTGCCTAACTAGTAGCAAGTCATAGCCTTAGCTTCCATAAATTTGTCTAATCTGCCTTTTAAAATGGAAATGTAGATGGCAACCACTACAGATTGTGGCACTGAATTTCTGAGAATGTGCTCTGTGAGAAGTACAGTCTGATGTTCTCTGAAAAATTAATAAACCTTACTATAATTCCAGATGCACTAAATACTTACATGAGCATTTTCTCAGGTACCAGTTATGACTGAAATGACATACAGAATCATGTTGATTTGTAACTATGCATCTCATTTCTTTTTTTCCATACTAGTTCCATACTAGTTATTAAATGTGGCTTATATGCTGGCCACAAATGGCATCTTTCAGAAGATACCCCAGTTTCCAGATAGATTCAGTGTACTGTACTTGATAGTCAAACAGTCCTGCATAGTATAAATATACCACAAAACTAATAATAAAGCAATTCCCCCACCTCTGCCTGCCCATAGGTTCCTTTTACAGCTGTTCAGAAAAAGAAACAGTGCCCTCTGGTGATTCCCACCCTAATAATGTTGCTGCCAAATATAAAATGTAAATGGGAACATTTTACTTTGCTCTCAAAATGTCCCTTTCATGATTGACTATTAAAAATAAAATTGATTGAGCCGCTATTAACACTATGTGATTTTGTTTCTTTTCTATATAGCATTTTGTATTGTTAATAGTTAATAATAGTAAGGGAGGTAATTAAGATAATTAAAAGAAAAAAGCAAAATTCCAAAGAATTCCTAAACTCAATTATAGCTTTGTGAGAACTCTATTTAAAATGAATGTGGTTTTCTAAAAAACAATTGAGTAAACTCAAATAAAAGTTAAGCCCCATTTGTTCTAATGGGAGAAAGTTGAGCACCTGCTTTACTTTCTTACTGAAATGACACAAAAAAATGCAGGTTGCTTTGTTGGTCCACTAGGAAAAGAAGTGGAAAGGTTACACCAGATAATATCTTTATTAGGGCCAACTAAAATGTCACTTTAAGGCTTGGTCACTGCAGTGTGACCTTTTAGTTGGATAGTCTACTGTTCCTGACCTCAGTAAAAGTTTTTAAATGGTTACTTTGGCTAGATTGTGCCTACTGTGGAAAGGAAAAGGAGTATTGTAGGACTAAAAAAACATTTTCAAACACAGCATATATTGGCAGCCACAAACCTGCCCTACGTTTCAAAACACCAAACTGGCAAAAATGCGTGTAATTTTCAGCTCCTAGTCATCTATATAGATCACAGTGACTATAAAAGCTGCCTCAAAAATAGCATTCAAAATATTAACTGTCACTTGCTACTATGTTAATTAACAAGTCAACAAAACCAGCAATTAGAGGGCAGAACTCTAAATCTGATAGTATCTTACAAAGTAAACACTGGAAGGTAGTTTCACTGTGTAATACATCCTTAAACAATGCAGCAATTTGTCTACTCTCATCATTACAGCTTAGTATATAGTAGTTCTAGTTCTGCATTACTAAAACTGCAATATTAAAAACCTACTGGAGGCCGTCCTACTGAACTCAATTAAACTTCAGAATAAGTATCTTTCTGATTATGCACTATTTATGGGACAAAGTGGCAACTCTAGGCTTCTTTGATAGCTAGTGTCTGGGGATAATTTAATAAAGATAGATTGAATAAATACTGTATGTACAAATCAGAAAGGCCAAAATATTGAATGATAACCCTGTGAGTGGAAGAAAAACACTATTATTTGCACCCAGAATTTAGTTTCTCTCCATCAAGACTTGGAATTGGCTGGCTTGCTATAACCAGAAACAACATTTATCTTTCCAGTGCCATCTTCAGGAAGGTTGTGGCTGCATACACATTATATTTTTAAGCACCTTTCCCCTCTCAAAGAATTGTAGGCATTGTAGCTTACTCCTCAGAGAGTCACAATTCCAAGCAACCTTTAAAGAATGACAGTGCCCAGAATTGTTTGAGAGGGCAATGTGCTTCAAATGTGCTTTGAAGGTATGGCGTATACATAAGGCTGCAGTCCAAAGCTGGCCAATACATTTGCTAGGGGCAGCCAGAAATGTCACAAAGAGTTGCAAACTTTTCAGTACTTCAGAACACTTCATCAGGCAAGATGTTATACAGGGAAGTGGGGTGGTGGAGGAGGAGGATTTAAGAAAAAATACAAAAAGATTGAATGGGAGTAGCCATAAAGTCAGCTTGTAGGTTACACAGGGAGCTACCTTGTACTGAGTCAGACCATTGGGTCCATCTAGCTCAATATACACTAGGGATGGCCCACCCATGAGGCAAGGTGAGGTGACCGCCTCAGGTGGCAGGAGCCACAGGGACAGCCGATCCAGCCTCCAAGGAACACACTGACCACTGCCGCAGCTGCAATGCCAGCCGCAACTACAGCACCCACTCTCATGCTGCCTTGATAGCATCTCCCACCCTTGTTCCTGATGTAGATATTCCTCCCTTGTTCCTGATGTAAATCTTCACTCCCCTCTTCTTCCCTGGCAGAGAGGTGGGTGTCATTTTGTGGTTCATCTCAGATGCTAAAATATCTTGAGCCAGCCCTGGTCTACCCTGACTGGCAGTTGCTCTCCAAAATTTCAGGTAGTGTTTTATCCCACCTTTACTTGGGGAAGCCAGGGATTGAACCTGGGAACTTCTGCAAACAAAGCAGATGCTCTCCACTGTACAATGGCCCTTCCTGCAAAGATGGGGATTGTAGGCTGAATAAATCTCTGCTAGGTGCAATAAGTAATATGATTTACAGTGAGTTATAGCCATTCAAAACTCGGAGGTCTGTACACCCACACATCTGTCCATCCTCCAACCAGACAAGCAAGAGGTATCCCATTTCAACGACACATTCCAGCCATGGAACTCAAGTACACCTGTATAGGACTGCACTGTAATAATTGTGTCAACACATAGCTGTTTCTGTTTTGTGAATTGTATTCTTTGGGATTATTTTTAGTTGCCATTTTAATTGAACTTGCGTAAGGTGACTTTTTATATATGATCATAAGGAATGTATTGATAACCAAATAAATGCATTCATCACCCTGGGGTTGGAACTCTCTTGCTAATGTTAGTTTGGAAGAAGAGGTAGATCTCAAAATTTATTTTCTTATGGTCCAAAGGCCTGTTATGGGGCAGGGGAGTAGCAGAAGCACAGGACAGTGCTCTGAGAACAGCTGCATGTCTCTGATCCAGAGGTGTCCCAGGAATATTGAACCTGGGAGTAGGCTCCTGACTGGGCCCTTTGCCTTTGAAAATGTTGAGAGGGTATACTAGTTGTGGAAGCAGAAACAGTGAGTAGAACAGCAGAAACAGCTGTTAACTGAAGGCAGCCATTCCAATAACTCAGATGTTCAGAGATGCACGTAGTAAGATTTCCCCAGCTTGGCCTTTTGCTGTGTTCCAATCTGGCACTACAAACTGTACTAATAAAGAAGCCTGTGTATTCTCCATATGGTAAAATTTGGAGATAATCTGTTTATATCCATAGACCTAACTATTGTCTCAGAACCATTATGAATGCTTCTAAAAAAATAAAGTTAATTTTTAGTGCATGATTATTCATTTGAGATATTAATAGCTCTTTGTACTTTTTTTAAAAGCTTTACTTTCTCTCTTCCCTCCTCTTCTAAATCTGATCTTATCTCTTCCATTAACTGCATGACTTCTTGTTTCCTGCTCAATATCTTTTTCTCTTTCAGAATATATTTGTGTGTGGTATATATTTTGTTAAGTTGTGGGTGAACATATCAGACGACACAGCGATTCTTCAAACAGCTCTTGTTTATTCACAGGCCAGAACAGAACTGAACTGAAGGGTTCAGCCAGCCTGCTTATATGTTGTAGAGCTCCACTACAACACAACTGTAACAACTTTCTGTAACTATCCAATCACTAAACGTCACTTTCAATCCCTTATTTGCATATGTGGACCTGAGTGAAAACTATCTACAATATCCCCCTGCTGGCCCAGGGTGAGAACTTCAGTACATAACATATTTTTAAGCTCCTCCTTCATCAGGCGGTTAAAAATCATCATTGAAGACAGCAGGACGTCTTCAAATAGTACATATTATTGCTTAATACTTAACAATCGTCATACTCCCACTAACAATTTATTAGCCTGAAAGTAACATACTGATTCCCATTGTTTACTACTAACTTTAAAGCTAAAGAATTCAAATACTGATTTTAAACCTCTTTTAAAGTTTAAGGAGCGAAAGTTTTCAAAGCTGGCAAACTTTTCAAAGCGTCCAACAACAATTACCAGAATCTGGCAAAACTTAACTTTTTTTGAAAGTGAAATTGATATGATTTAAAAAATACTAGTTTACACATAATAATTCAGGGCCAGGTATATCTGGGAATGAAAACAATTAACTCATTAACAGTTTCAACTAAAGTGTAGATGCAATATTGAGACATTATCACCCCAAACCTGGAATGTTTTTGGGAGTGGGGAGCAAGAAAAGGCCATGCCCAATAAAATCCTTATCCATTGACAAGATGTAAAGAATTGGTAGAGAAGTGGCTTAACATACACAACCATTCACACTTTTCCAGGTTTCATTGCACTTCAATCTCATGCTTCTCACAAGTGCAGCTGTGAATTCAGATAGAATGTGCACTGTTCAAATTCTCCGGCATAGTGGAACTAAATGAGTGCAGTTACACTTGGAGACTTTCATACCCAGAAAGAATAAAAGCATAGGACACTACTATATTTTGCACATACTGCACTGATTATGAGTAAATTAGGATTGTTCTGTTCCAAGGAAAATAGATATGTCTGCATCTCTGTACTAATTCACTTTAATTTTTCCTATTAAAATTTAATTATTTAGTTATGTAAACTGCACCCCTCAAACAGCATTAAACATATACAGTGGTACCTCGGGTTAAGAACTTAACTCGTTCTGGAGGTCCGTTCTTAACCTGAAACTGTTCTTAACCTGAGGTACCACTTTAGCTAATGGGGCCTCCCGCTGCTGTCGCCGCATGATTTCTGTTCTCATCCTGAAGCAAAGTTCTTAACCCGAGGTACTATTTCTGGGTTAGCGGAGTCTGTAACCTGAAGTGTCTGTAACCTGAAGCATCTGTAACCCGAGGTACCACTGTATATTCTAAAATTACCCAGGAAAGATGCAGTTATCTGTGTGTATTTAGCTTTATTGTTTTGCTTCTGTAACTTGCATCATGTGACAGTGCTTGTGTCCTCAAAGACATAAAACAGAAAATCAAACCATCCTAAGGATTTATTTTAATATATTTTCCATTATTACCAAAAAAGGCATTAGAGGCAAGTGATTCTTGGAAATATTGTTTTATTTTTATTTTTTGAAACACCATAACTAGTTTGACAACTTGTACTTTGTGTTTGTACCTTAGAAAGTTGAATCCTGATCTCACTATAATTAACAGACAGTTTTCTATTGAGCTGGCAGCAACAGCAGCACCTGAAACTGTTCCCAGCTAATTAGTATAAAGCTCTGCTGAGTTTCAGTCCTGGGCATAATGCAATTATATAGCAATTTAAACAGTTGCATGATTCAAGAGTTATTAAAAATATTCTAGTCATTTGTCATAAAGGCACTCTAGAGCCTTCACTTGGAAAAAGCACCAAATCCTTTATAACAGAAATATATCAACCCCCACCCTATCCTCCACATTTGATTGCAATGCAATTCAGAGCCAAATATATTAAAAATATCCACATGGGAGAGCTCCTGGAATTGTACCACTTGATTGTTGGTGCATAATTATTCAGTCTGACTAATACTCACAGACTAGCAGCACAATCCTGTGCATACTGTTGTGAGTTTTTGCAAGGAGAGGTGGGAAGCTGTATGCCTGAGTCCCTTCTAATTCCTGGATCCAAAAGAATTCCTTTGCTGGAACAGTTAGTTAGAAAGACAAAGGCCAGAGTTGAGCTAGAAGCTGAAAGCAGGCTGGGCAGCTGAGAGACAGAGTCATGCTTGATTTTTACTTGAATCCAAGGCTGTGACTATGGGATAAACAATACCTTTTTGGGGTGTTAATGGTAGATATGTGTCATTAAACCATATATCATAAAGACACCACAGTCTCCACTGTCTTTCATTCTGAGGAAGCAAACCCTGGGTAAGCAGCTGGACTCTTGCACTGCTCAGATTGGGGTGGCATGCAGCAGTATATATACAGAAGGCACTTCAGTAGGGTTCCACAGCAAGAGCTACAAGAAGATTCAGCAACTGTCAGACTCCAAGCATACACAGAGACTGCACAATACAAAGGAAAGGGAAGAACTACGGTAGGACAGGCAATAAGGGAAACCACATACAGCGGTACCTCGGGTTAAGTACTTAATTCATTCCGGAGGTCCGTTCTTAACCTGAAACTGTTCTTAACCTGAAGCACCACTTTAGCTAATGGGGCCTCCCGCTGCCACTGTGCTGCCGGAGCACAATTTCTGTTCTTATCCTGAAGCAAAGTTCTTAACCTGAAGCACTATTTCTGGGTTAGCGGAGTCTGTAACCTGAAGCGTATGTAACCCGAGGTACCACTGTATAACTTCTTACAGGAGCATTTAGACACAGGACGTCAGTTTAAGCCCCACCACGGGAAATAACAAGGCACAACTAGCTTATTAGGTAAAGGACCCCTGGATGGTTAAGTCCAGTCAAAGGCAATTATGGGGTGTAGCACTCATCTCGCTTTTCAGGTGGGGAGGTGGTGTTTGTCCACAGACAGCTTTCCGGGTCATGTGGCCAGCATGACTAAACTGCTTCTGGCATAACAGGACACCATGACGAGTACCAGAGTGCATGGAAACGCCGTTTACTTTCTTGCCACAGCGGTCCCTATTTATCTACTTGCACTGGTATGCTTTCAAACTGTTAGGTTGGCAGAAGCTGGGACAGAGCAACAGGAGCTCACCCTGTCACACAGATTCAAACTGCCAGCCTTCCAATCAGCAAGCCCAAGAGGCTCAGTGGTTCAGACCACAGAGCCACCCATGTCCCCTACAACTTGCTTTTTGTATGCCTAGACAGCAGGCAAAAGAGAGTGCTGTCATGGCACAAATCTACACTGTATACTCCACAGAGCAGCTCCCTAGACAGCCAACCAGCCATTTTAAATCATTGTAATTTAATCAGATTTTTAAATAATAAAGCTTTATAATATTTCTTCAGTATTTCATATCTGTAAGTCAGAAATAGTGGTTTAGCCTCACATGTCTATGATGTTTTAGATCTAAACTCTCAAAGGGCTTAAACAAACAGTCATTATTTGGACCACACCTGTGAAGTGTGTAATTGAGATTGTTCTATAGTTATAGAAGTAACACAGGGAAGGAACATTGAATAAAACTGCATACTTGAGGGAATTTTCAATGTAACGAGTTAGGCATCAGGGACTACAACTGTTTTGGATAACAAGGAGATGCAGGTAACTGAAGCTTATATACAGATGGTATCCCAGAATATACTGCTTCATAATGAAAGCTTCAGGTCCAAAGCAACTGACCACCACCATAAAGATTTAGAGAAAGAATGTAGTATTGCAAACAGGTAAGGATCAGTCCCACCACCAGTCCCAGACCCTTACGGATGCATCACAGGAAAACATCCAAGTCTGAACAAAGCTATAATTTCTCCCAGATCTTTAATCTGTTAGAATAATTCTCATCATATACCCACAAATGGAACCTTAACATTATTTTTCAGTTTTGCAACTATTGGACCCCTGTGCCATTTAGATGAAGCTACAGGTGCATGCCTGCATGCCATGTAGGCACCAGAATCAGAAATGGGCAAAAACAACAGAAGTGGAACACCACCACAAATAGAGAAACACAGCAGTATTCTTTATTTCTTCCTGCTGTGTAAAAATGAAGGAACAACATATTACTAATAAGGACAGTACAATGGAGATGTGTGCTTTTTTTTGTATGGCTGCAAAATGAGGTATTCCATCATAAAGTTAATCTTTAGAAGAAGGAAACATAGTGACCTATCAGTTCAAGCAGCACAAAAGCTACGATTTCTATTTGCTTCAGGCAAAGCTAAGAAAGGTTTCTAAACAGATCAGAGCCACAGTTTGTTTCATTCTTGTCAGCCTTTAGCAAAACACTAAAATTAAGTATATGATCCCATTTTTCTCTGTGACAGATGATCAATCATCATCAACAATTTCAGCATGTTTTACTGCAAATAAATTTTGACTCCTCTTGTTGTAAGTTTAATCTTGAAATAAACTTGCATTTTGGCTCCCAGTGATCTATAGGACACACCACTATATACAGTACATCAGTATTCACTGAGAGCTTTCCAGGAGCCTTATCATACCTAAAGTGCCTGGTTATGCTTTTGTGAAGATTTTAGTAATAACTATTATGCTTTTCCAGTCAAAATGTGATTTAGTAGTCTGTACCCAGCAGATATAACTTATATCCTTTCCAAGTCTCATCCTGATAAAAAAGGAACATTACTGAAAGAACCTACTGCAGACAAATGGGTTAAAATTAAAAAAAAAACAAGCTGCCATCTGCTCTATGATAAAGCATTTAGCCTGGTTACATGAGTAGAGCCAATAATCTCCACATAGCAATATATTATTTATCAAGTGCACACATGGGAAATTCCTCTGAAATATAATATGGCAGGTGAACTTTTTCCCAGACATGAGGCCCTATAACCTATTCAGGGAGGCAAAACTAAGAAACTGATTCCTAAGTAGCTCATTTATTTGGGAGAGCAGTCACTCACATACCTTTTCTCATATGGAACCCTGCACAAGTCACCTCCACTTGGATACTATAAATTAATCCACCAAAGGCCAAATTATACTTCTGATAAAAGTGCTGTGTACCAGCATTCTTGCAGGCTTCCCATAGACATTGCTTCCCATGGGCCACTGGGAGAACAGGATGCTGGACTAAGTGGGCCTTTGGACTGATCCAGCAAGTCTTATTACGAGAACTATATGCAATTATGGTTGATCTGAGTGCCGAGGTGCATAACTGCCTCTGTCACAGTGCAGAAATCCAATTTTAAAAGCAAAGGGCTGAGTTGATGAAGCTTGCAGAGCAACTGACTTCACTGCAATCGGTGGGCACTGGTTTCAGAAATTTGGCCGAGAAAATGGCTTGAGCTTCCATGGGTCTCTCTCACACACAAACACATACAATGCAAGGCAGCAAGGAAGATTAATGTTATTGTGACTGGAACGGTTTCCTTAAGCACAATGAGGAAGGAAGCAGGAACACCCTTGTCACAGCCCCCACAAAACCCTGAACATTGCCTCAGTATATTTACAAGAAATGTACTGATTTCATGATTACATTCCTTCGACAGAAAATCAGATTCCTAAAAAAACTGTGGCGTTCCTTTTTTTTTTTTGAGTGCTACAATTTCCTTTAATTATTATCTTATAAAAAATAATATTCCTCTTCCCCAACATGACACATCAGCTCATTGTCAAGGGCCTGGGTTCTTAAGGCTACAAAGTGAAAGACATCCCTCCTCCCGCTTATTCAAGAGGCGGATATGTGCAGAGACAAAAATATATACATTAAATGCTGCTTCAGGGAATTTGAGCGTGACGGGTTTGCCAACGCAGGAGGGGGCGAGCAACACACCTCTACATATTAACACTAAGTGCAATTGTGCGAGCAAAATGGAGTTACGAGGCACAGAAGCCTTTCTCAAGTGATGCTATTGCATCATATATATTTTTAACGCCTTGCCCCTTCCTCCCCTCACTGCGCGCGGGCGCCACACATCAGCCCCTCGAGCGCCAACCCCCGCCCCGCGGGACCTTCCCCTCCTCGTGACAGTTACAAACTGCCTCCTCTTGTTTTGAAGGGGCGCGTGGTCCTTCCTCATTGGCTGCGGCCTTCGTCCCTCCCCTTTCGCCGCCCGCCTCTGAGGCAAGAGAAATGCAAGAGCGAAGGGTGACGGCGTCGCACTACACTTCCCGAAACGCTTTGCGCGGCAGCCGAGAGGGCAGCCTCCGCTGTCGCCTCTGCTCCTGTGGTAAAAGGGAAAGTGTCTAGCTGGGGCGTGCGTTCTCCCTCCCTCCTTCCCCGTGCACAACAAGAGCGGCGTGGGGGCTGCGAGGAATAGGAGGAGGAAGAGCAGCAGCAGCAGAGCGAGCGCTGAGGAGGCTGAGGTGAGCGCGGCGCATTCGGCCGCCCGCCTGTCCGCTCGCCCGCCCGGCAGGCTCCTCTTTCCCAGCGTCGGTGGCAACCTCGGGGAGAAGGGAGGCATCCTCCGGTGCTCCGGGCTGCCCTGAGGCGGCGGCGAGGGGCGCCCTCCGCCCCGGGGCGAGCGGGGAGAGGGTTCTGCAGCATGAGCATCAGCAGAGTTGCCCGGAGAACTGCAGCGGAGGCGGCGGCGCAGCTCCTGCTGGCGGCGGCCACCGTGGGCTGCCTCTGGTGCGCGGCAGAGGCCCAGGTGAGAAGGGCTGGCATCATGGGGAGCGAGAGGCGGCGACGGCTGGGTGGCTCGGTGGGAATCTGCCCGTGGGCTTGTCAGCTAACACTTTCCATGCCTCCATAGCAGGGGTTGCCACTGTCTTGCCCTCCAGATGTGGTCGGACTATAACTCCCATCGTCCCTCCTGACGGTTGGCCATGTTGGCCAGAGCCGACGGGCATTGCAGTCCCACGTTCGGAGGGCACCGTGTTGGCTACCCCTGATGGACCGCATCTGGGACGGCAGAGCTGAAGGGATGCTCTCTCTGACTTCCGAAACGTAGGGCCACTCGAGGGCTGCACCCTTTCCCCACCTCAGGAAGATTGCCAGGGCAAGGGGGAGGTCAACTTGGCCCCATCCTTAGGGATTCCAGGGCTTGATTTTCTCTTCCCTCCTTCCTGTTTAGTAGACTGTGACCCTGGACGCAAGGATTGTGCTCTTTTTACAGCGCTGAGAAAATTTCGGGCGCTTTATGAAGCGTTTATTAATATGTCCAGTTCTCTGGACGGCCTTCCAGCAGGTGTGGGCCTGATCCTGCCTGTTCAGTGGCTCCTCTTTTTAGCTGTGAGAGTAGAGATGCAAGCAGCTTTAGTGAATCGGAGACAGCAGCAGCATCTTTAATAAGGGTTTCCAAATCCTTCCTTTCCTCCGTAAGATACAGTTGAGGTCTTCCTTGGGGAGATGCGATCAGTTGTGTTTGCTCTGCCTTGGCTTGGCAGATGTTTGATGCTAATTTGTAATTGAGCCAAGAGTGTGTCAAATGGGATTATATTATATCAGGGGAAAGAACATGTGTATAGAGATGCTTTTTGCTAGTAGGAAGAAGCTATGTGGTCTTTATAGTGTATTTCAAGGTAAATAAGATGGAAATTTTTCCTAGCATGAGAAGGAATGCTTTGCATAACTGGCATATTCCCCCCCCCCTTACTGTTAAGAGTTACATGCAAGCTCTAGGTTGATTTGTCATGGGAAACAATATTTCAGTTTGGTTTTCTTTGAAATTATACAAAAGGTTGAATGGTATCAATTGTGTAGAGTATACCTGCACTAGAAGATCAGAAGCAAACTGTTAAAATAATTATAGATTCTACTCTTCAGATTTGGGTATGAAAGTAATACTTGCTTCTTGCTGATTATGATGTTCGTTGTTATTACAGCTTTTGACGTTGCATAACCATACTCTGTAGTATTTCAGGCCACAATGTTTAACTTAAATGTTTTCAGCCCATTTTCTCTCCCATTTTCTCCCCCCCCCCGTAAAACAACATTCTATAGCTGAAGTGTCCTTTTGGTTTTCCTTGTAATAGTTAAGTGCCGCTTCTGGTTTCGAAGATGTGCACTGCTCCTTCTTATTGGTTGCCCTTCTAGATGATCCTTAAATTGTACCTCAGATTGTCCACAAAATGAGCAGGTCTGGGAAAAAGAAATATTCCAGGAGCCAATTTCAAGTTGTTATGTGCTGTCTGTTCACAAAGTGACATGGATTTAAAGTTCTTGGGCAGTGACACGTACTCCTAACTTCTAGATGTCCAGTCATTCAGCTTCCTGATACGGATCCCAAAGGCAGTTGCACTGGAAATGGAAAACCTTTATTACAGAGCATAGTCTCACTTTCCTTCCAAACGTTATTCATGTGATTAGTCGAGATGGTGGTAATTCTTTTTAAATGTTCCATTCTTATGGGAGATACAGTGGTGCCTCGGGTTAAGTACTTAATTCGTTCCGGAGGTCTGTTCTTAACCTGAAATTGTTCTTAACCTGAAGCACCACTTTAGCTGATGGGGCCTCCCGCTGCTGCTGCGCCGGCCAGAGCACGATTTCTGTTCTCAACCTGAAGCAAAGTTCTTAACCTGAAGCACTATTTCTGGGTTAGCAGAGTCTGTAACCTGAAGTGTATGTAACCTGAAGCATATGTAACCCGAGGTACCACTGTACTATTTTCGTGTAACTTGCTCACGTCCTGGGATTTCCAAATAGCTACTGACTATTTTGCATGCCTACGTACAAGAACAGGAGAAATTTTCCAAGCGACTTTGTCATTTTGCTGTTTACCTGATATAATATTTGATTGAATTATTTTATTACACTTTGTATTATAATCTTACTAATAAGGATAACCAGTGTTAGATCACCAGTATTTTAAATGTGCTTGATTTATTTAAAAAAAATGCAAAACTTAAAACTGGACTTCATTCCATGTACAGTATCTCTAATATAGTTCTTTTAGGGGGGAAAGTAAAGTGGATTTTTAATGTATAATTAAAACAAAGTTTTATTTTGAAATACTTATTCTCATCTTAAAAGCATTATAAAAAGCATGAATAATTGTTGGCCTCCTTATAGAATCCTCTTTTATAGATTTAAGCTTTATAGGCTAGGAGTTAAATGAGGCTTAATCGTAAGTCTATATGTGTTTGTAGCCCACAAGTTACAATATATACTGTTCTGACCTCCTTGAAAAATGCACTGCTGCTTTTTAGTATTGGCAGCTATAGAAATAAAATGAATAATTCTAAAGCTTAGACTGAAATTCTGAATATAAACCTATCCATCAGATTTAATGAAAAGAATTCCCAAAGTGAATATAATTCAAGTACACTTCCAATCTCAGCAGTCTTATATGATGGGAGGAAGCTCCTTTCAGTTTCACAATGCTTTGAATTTTTTCACTTTCATAATAAATAAATATTGCAGTGTTTTTGGTCGCCCACTAAGGAAATGCAGTGCATTCTTAAAATATAGTGTTGAATACTCACAATGATAACCTGTTTATACAATGACCTGGTTTTCACATAATGCTAAGCCAAACTATGGGTAATTGCAAATTTTCAGGTGTCCAGAGAAGCTTGGCTGCTTTTCTCCTCCTCCAGTCCTGCTGCTGTGAGCTAAAATGTGAGATGTAAGCCATAGAACAAACATTGACTACAGCTCATGGTGTGCCTAAACTAGAGCAAGATAAACCAGAAGCTTGGGTTCATACACAACACAACACGACACAACATGCCAAACCATCACATGGCTCACAGCAGCAGGACCAAAGCAGCCATTGTCTTATCTTGGAGCTTGCATGTTTGCTCCCATAGTTTGACTTGGTATTATGTGCAAACTGGGCAACTGAAAATGATTGCTGAATTCCAATGGCACACTGCAAACAAAACAAAACATAGGGGTGTGCTTATTGTCTAATTTAACATTCTGCTAAAGAGTGATAAAGGATTACCCGCACAGAATTTAATTAAAATCTAAGTTAATAAAAGCAAATTCTATCAATATTTTAGATAGATTAAGGAATGATGGTAAATGTACTCTGCATACTATTAATAAGTCTGCCGGCTTTGTCCCACTGCATTCAAGAATAAGCTACTGAAGACTTACCCCACACACCACCCCACTACTGCACAGGTGACATTTCCACATCTATGAAATGTGCATAGATTGTGTATCACAAATGCAAATGCTTGTTTTGCTATAAGTTAAAAAAAAGTGTTACCTTGCCCATATGTGTGTGGGTTTCATGTAAATTCCTGCAAGCAAATGCCATTTGCATTGCTCTTTATGATTATTTCTCTCTAATTGTCTTCTTTCTCAATCAAAAACTTTTAGCTACTGTATAAGTAGTATTGCCATTCAGTCTTTTTGTTTTGTTTTTGTAGTTATCAGGACTGCTTGATGACTGCTTATGCGACATAGAAAGCATTGATGACTTCAACAATGTTAAGATCTTCCCCCAAATACAGAAACTTCTAGAACGCGACTATTTCAGATACTACAAGGTAGAGTAAAAAATGGCCTATTACTATATAGTTTAGTGCAGACATTCTCAGACTCTCTGCTCCTTGGTCCATGTGAGTGAGCTGAAAACTACTGAGGCCCACCATTTACAAACTGGTGGTGATATTTTCTGTTGATACCTAACCTCTCTTTGGAAATTACTAAATTCTATGCCATAGTAGTTTTCTTGTGGAAAGGAGTTCCATCATTCAGACTTTTATCTGGGGGTTATTTGCCAATACAAGGCTCTAAATGGAGAAGGCTTTTTATTTTATATCCACCCCAGCATTTCTCTTTAATGTCTGTTTACTCTATCTGCTGTCACTTTTTCTCTTTTCCTTCTTAACCTAGCCCGAAAGTGTTAGTTTCTTTCATCCCTGCTCTTTTACGTTTACTTCTCCCTCCTTTAACAACTTTCTTCTCGTAACTCTTTCCCCTCTCTTACCACTTTGTTCTATTTTTAAAAATAATGTTTTATCTCTTTTTAAATTCCTAGGGGAAGCAAGACCTCTCATCTCTCTCTTTCTCTTTCCCTCCTTCTGCTCCCAGCTTCTGTCCCACAGT